GTTTCCTTGAATTGTTTAAATTCTTCTTTGATTTCCTGGTTGATCCAAGCATTCTTAAGCAAGGTGGTCTTTAGCTTCCAGGTGTTTGAATTACTTCCAAAATTTTCTTGTGGTTGAGCTCCAGTTTCAAAGCATTGTGATCTGAGAATATGCAGGGAATAATCTCGATCTTTTGGTATCAGTTGAGCCCTGATTCCTGACCTGGTATGTGGTGTATTCTGGAGAAGATTCCATGAGCACTCGAGACAATGAGTATTCTGATGTTTTAGGTGGAATATGCTGTATATATCTATGAGGTCCGTATGGTACAATCTGTCATTTAATAGTCTTGTTTCTTTAATGGTTTTCTGCTTGGATGATCCGTTTATTACTGAGAGTGGCATGTTAAGATCTCCTACTATTAATGTATTCATATCAATATGACTTTTATCTTGTTTAACAGTTTTCTGATGTAATTGGCTGCTCCCATATTGGGGGCATAAATATTTACAATTGTTAGATCTTGGTGGATAGACCCCTTAAGAATGATGTAGTGTCCTCCTGTATCTCTGACTACAGTCTTTAGTTTAAAATCTAATTTATCTGTTACGAGAATGGCTACCTCAGCCTTCTTTTGAGGCCCATTGCAATGAAAGATGCTTCTCCAACACTTCACTTTCAGTCTGGATGTATACTTGGGTTCTAAATGGGTTTCTTGTAGACAACATATGGATGGGCCCTGTCATTTTATCCAATCTGCAACCCTGTGCTATTTGATGGGTGCATTTAGGCCACTCACATTGAGAGTGATTATTGAGAGATACGTTTTTATGGACATCGTGTTACCTGTGAAGTCTTTGTTCCTATAGATTGTCTCCATAAATTTCTGTTCAATGATATTTTTGGGCTTTTTCCTCTGTTATAGAACCCCCCTTAATATTTCTTGTAGTGCCAGCTTGATGGTCACATACTCTTTACCTTGCCAGTCTTGGAAGCTCTTTATCTCTCCATCCATTTTGAATGTCAGTCTTGCTGGATAAAGTATTCTTGGCTGCATATCCTTCTCATTTAGTGCTCTGATTACGTCTTGCTGGCCCGTTCTGGCTTGCCAGGTTTCTGTGGACAGCTCTGACTTTATTCTGATGGGCCGTCCACTGTATGTAAGGAATCTCTTCCCCCTTGCTGTTTTCAAGAGCTCCTGTCTATAATTATGAGTCTTCATTTTCACTATCAGGGGTCTCAAGGTCTTTCTAGATTCTATGATCCTGGGGAGAGACCGTTCTGCATCTAGGACATGAACGCTGGTTCCATTCACCAGATTGGGAAAATTTTCATGGATAATTTGTTCAACTATATCCTCTAGTCTTCTGTCTTTCTCGTCTCCCTTGGGGATTCCAATAATTCTGACGCTGGAATGTTTCATAGCATCATTTATTTCCCTAATTCTGTTTTCATGGCCTCTAAGCTGTTTGTTCCAGGCTTCCTCCTGATCACTTTTCTCTATCAGTTTGTCCTCCAGATCACTAATTCTGTCTTCTGCCTCAGTCACCCTAGCTGATAGAGAATTCAGATTAGATTGGAAATCATTGAGAGCATTGTTAACATTATCCTTGGTGGCTTTCAGTTCTGCCCTTATCAGTTCCATTTTGTCATCCATGGCTTTCTCCAACCTAGCCATTGCCTCGATAATTGTTAGCCTGAATTCCCTTTCTGACATATTGTTTATGTCCATATCCAAAAGCTCTGATGGAGAGGGCACAGTCCTGAATTTTTCCTTTGTTGGGCATTTCTCTTCCTGGTCATTTTGGTGAGAGATGGCTGAACAGATGTGTAGTTGAATGTATCAACCATGGTGCAGCAAGGTGCACTCTGGAACACTTCTGAGCAATCAGGAGTCCCCACCAAAAAGAAAGGAATAAATAAAAAAGAGAGAGAGAGAGACAGGAAAAAGGAAAAAAGAAAAGAGAAGACCCAGCCCGAATGGGCCCCAAAGGTAAGATTTTAAAGTATACTAACAAACCCAGACAAACAAAAAGACCGACAAAACTAAATTACAAGAAAAAAAGAACCCAGCCAAAATGAACCCCAGTATAAGATTTATATACTACCAAGACAAAAACAAATACACAGGAACTCTGACAGAAGAAGAGTGGGTGGTTATAAATTCTCAGTGTGGGCAAAGAAGGTTATTTTGATTCCTCCTGGATGTATCTTGATATCTTTGTTAAAGGACTCTACTTTCCTGAGATAAAGGGGGATTAAAACTGGTTTACCTATAGGGGTAGCATTGATTGGGGAAAGGGGTTTGCCTTGAAGCTTATCTTTACATGAATATTAAAAAAGATAAAATAAAATAAAAAATTAAAAAAAGAAAAGCAATAGAAAAACAGGTACATGTTTTTAAAAAGTTCAAGTTAATAGGTTATTATGGAATTTGTTGTACCGAACATTTCATTGTGATGGTAAATGGGTTAAAAAATTAAAAAAATTGAAAAGAATGAGAATAGTGGGAATGAATTTTTTTAAAAAAGTTGTATCTATGAAGTAGTGGTGGTTGTCCTCTTGGTTTTTTTTTTGTTTTATATTGGGGTGGGGACTGGCCTTCTCAGGGAGGGGCCTGTCGTGTGGTTTTTCAGGCAGTATTGAGAGAGTTGAGTCTGTTGCCCCCTATCAAGGGCCTGGGCTCTGAGGAAACAAGTTTTCTGGCTTTTGTTGCCAGGAGGGTTTTTTTTCCCCCCTCCTTGGTGGCTTTTGGTGGTTCTTTGGAGGTTTAGAGGAAAGCAAACTGCACTCAGACCTCCATCTCAAAGAGAAGCCTCAGTCTGTTCCCCTCTGCATGCTCCAAAGCACATAAATTCCCCCTCTGCTGCCGGCAAGGCACATCCCCAGTCATGGTCTCAGGGGTCGCAGGAGCTCCCGCTTGTGCCCCAGTGTTATCAAAACCATGAGAAGAACTAGTCCAGAGAGGTGGATTCCAGCAGCTATCTCTGCCATGGCTGTCTGGGCAGGTCCAGACCACCAGAGAAGTTGCAACCAGAGATGGCACACTGAGATTTTCAGGCTGGCCCTGGCTCTTAGTGTTCAGACTCTCCTACTCCTAGAGAGTACCAACTAGTGCCTGCAGGAACCTCTATCAGGGGAAGGTGTGAAGCATGACTCAGACCCTAGTTGTGCAGCGCATACAGAGTGCAAATAGATGTGGTTCTAGAGAGCGCCGGCTGGCATCCACACCAGACTCTCTCATGTGCACTGCCATGCAGACGCTCTCATGCATGCCAGCAGCTCAGGGACGGAGATCTGGCTTCTTTACTGCACTCTCTCTGGCTTAGCACCAGCGGTGGCCGTCCTGGGTCTGTGGGCTTAAGCCTCTGTCCCTAACCACCTGATTTCACCATTTCCCCTTAAGATCTTTTGCTCTTTTTGAGTGCTTTCTGTAAAGTTTTACAGGCGAGGTAAACACAACACCAGGCAAGGTAGGCGCAAGAGAAGATTTATTAAAGGCACTTTCTGGTGAAGTTTCGGGGCTCAGGAGAATGGGAGCCAGAAAGTCGCGCCAGGGGGAAGTTGGCACTCTCAGGCGAGGTTCCGTGACTTGGGAAGGGGGAGTCGAGGAAGTTGCGCTGGGAGGGAGTCGGCGGGGTATTTTATCGGACCAAGGCAGGGCATGGGTTCACATCCATACATGGTAAGGTATTTGGTGATTGGGTGATTGAAGCATATGGGGGGGGGGGTCCTGATGCTCCTGTTTCCTGCATAGGTATTGGGTTACCTATGGAGACATGACCTGGGCATACATCCTTTTGGCGGTAGAGTCAAGGGTTAAGGAAGAGGTGGGCTGGAAGTTGGCGGCCCAGTGGTCATTTCTATTGTTCCTCCTGCATTCTCGGAGCCGCTGACCCAATATTCAGACCTTTTTGGTGTATTAGGGGCGGTGATTCAGATCTGGCTACTTCCTACTGGTGAAGGGGCGTCGTTATAGGGTCCTTTGGATGTGGGTGGGGGTTATAGGATGCAGAAGGAGTTGGTTGACAGTGACCCTAGAAACCTCACTGATGCAATCCTCAATGAAGCAAAGAACACTGGGGATGATTAGTGCTAATAGGCAGAGGAAAATAAGGGGACTTAGGATTGGAAGGAGCCAGGTCGTTAATGGGGAGAGCCACCATTGAGAGGGGTTTATTTCAAGGTGATGCTGGTCATGAAGGGAGTTGTGGATTTTTGCCAGGACATAGATATTGGTTTCAACTATATCGGATTCATTGATATAATAGCAGCATTCTTCAGTGAAGAATACACAGGTTCCTCCCTTGTCTGCAGTGAGCAGGTCCAGGGCTCGTCGGTTCTGTAGGGCTACCTGGACCACTGAGGTAATATGTCATTGTAGGGATGCCAAGGACTCTGCTGAGGCCTCCATGGCTGTTCAGAGCTGTTTGGATAAATCTCGAGTAGCGTCTATGGAGTGAGCTAGGGCCCCAGTGCCCAGACTGGTGGCCACTAGGAAAGACGCCAGGGAAGAAACACAGCCCTTTTCTGTCACTGGAGGGGGTCAGGGAGGATAACCACTTCAGCTTGTGTGTAGATGGTTAGTTGAGGGACCAGGGATATTGGGATGCATAGGAGGCTGTCTGAGAACTTGGGGGTTTTCAACAGAGTGCCATTGCACCAAAAGAAACCTCCCAGAGGAGCATGATTAGGGGAGGATTAATTAGTCAAATTGCACAAGAAGGGGTTTGGAGATGAGTAGCAGAATGGGAGTACTGGGTTTTAAGGATCAACAAACAGGGGAACATTCTGTAGAGTGGCCTGTGCTGAGGAAGTAGGAGTGGAAGTGGTTATGTTGAAAGGGTGTGGTAAGGGTACTGTGATAAGGGTTTTGGCCCTGAGAGCTGCACAGATGAAGCAGTGGGACAGGTTGCCCATGCCAGAAAGTTGGTCAGAGTAAGGCCTTGTTGAATAAGTTTGAGCCAGGAAAATGGGTCAGAATCCTGAGAGGGAGAGGGGAGTAGGGGGTTTTGGATTGCTTATTCCTGGGCCTGGATGGACCATGACTGGCTCTGGAGGTCCTGAGGATTTTTGGGAATGTTTCTAACATAGGCCCTGTAGATGAGCAAGGAGGCCGTTGGATATGAATCAGAGGGCCATGTGTAAAGTTTGGCCTCAACTCCAGTAGCCCATCGTGGATCCCAAGGGTGGGGGATGGTGAGGTACCAAGCACTACTCCCATCAGTGGTGAAGCGATATCGGGAGCACTGGTTTCCATAAATATCTAGTTGGGCCTTATGCATTTTGCAGGAGGTGTATGGGCAGCCCCCGTTTGTCCGGACCCAGTATGCTCGGCAGTTAGGATGGGTTTGGTCATAGAGAAAGCAGATAGCGGAGTTGGAGTGCCCCCGCCGAATGGAAAGGAAGGCAGGGATGGTGAAGTTGATAGAGGCCTGGCACCCTCCGGGCTGGCAATCGGTGGTAGCTAGTAGGCTAGACTGTGCAGTCTCCCCATGGGTCCAGTTTTCCCTCAGGTAAAAGCGCCACCTGAACTCGGGTGTGATGGACGAGTGGCTAGGGAGAGTTTGGAGGAAGGGAAGAGTGAGGAGAAGAAGTGCAGGAAATCCGCAACCACGTAGACCCCAAGGTTTGGGACGTCCAGCCATCCTGTGGTGGGGCTGGTTTTAGATTGGAGATGTGTACCCACAGGTGGTGTCCTAGGAGTTTTGACGCCGTGGGAGTTGTGAGAATAGCAGTATGGGGGCTGGTCCATCTGGGCTGTAAGGACTTTGGGTGAAGTTCTCATAGGAGAACTTGGTCCCCAGGATTTAGGGCCTGGGGGAATTCTCCACCCAGGCTGTCCAGGGCAGGGAAAGTTGCATCTGCATGAGCCCTTAGGAGGGCTTGTAAGAGGATCCGATAGGAGGAATGGAAGAAAGGCAGGCAGGTTGTGATTGAGTAGGAAGGGCCTGCCATACAGAAGCTCAAAGGGGCTGAGTCCTAATGGGCTGCGAGGGGAGGCCCTAAGGTGGATGAGTGCTAGTGGGAGAAGGGTTGGCCAAGAGAGGCGGGTTTCAAGAGTGAGTTTGGTGAGTTGTTCCTGGAGGAGGCTGTTGGCCCTGTTGACCTTACCCAAGGATTAGGGGTAATATGGGATATGGAGTTTCCAGGTGATGTTGAGGCGCTTGGAGATTTGTTGTGTGATGCTGGAGATGAAGGCCGGTCCGTTGTCTGATTGTAGGGCTCAAGGGATTCCAAATCTCAGGACGATGTGTTCAATGAGAACCATGGCGAACATGTCTACTGTTTCCCTAACAGTGGGGAATGCCACGATCCAGCCTGTGAAAGTGTCCACAAGAGTCAGTAGGTATCTTAAAGTTTTGTGTAAAGGCATGTGAGTGAAGTCGAGTTGCCAGTTCTTGCCTGGCTGATGCCCGCGGAGCTGGTGGGTGGGTCCCAGACTGTGGAGGCCACCCTGGGTGTTGACCGCAGAACAGGTTCTGCAGGCCTGGTGTACCTCCTTAATGGTCTTTTGGAGGAGGGGGTGGTGAAAGAGAGGTCGGAGAAATTGGTATAGGGCCTTTGGACCTATGTGGAGAGACTGGTGGATGTCAGTAATGAGGGTGCGGATTAGGCTGTGCGGGAGGGCAATTTTGTCCTGGACATAACACCATCCCTTGTCACCCAACCTGCCACATAATGTTTTGAGGGCCCAAGTCTCCTCATCAGTGTATGAGGAAATGTGGGGAGTGTAGAGAAACAGGAGAGGGGCTGGAGAGGATTTTAAGGCTATCTGTTAGGCAGTAGAGTCGGCCTTGTTGTTCCCCAAAGAGATGGGGTCCTTGGAGGACTGATGGCCATGGCAGTGGACAATAGCCACCTCAGTAGATTAATTGAGAGCCTTGAGGAGTTTGGCAATAAGAGGCCCATTAACTATGAGGGTTCCCTTAGTCATGAGAAATCCCTTCTCGCCAGAGGACAGAGTAAGCGTGGGTAATGAGGAAAGCATATTTGGAGTCAGTATAAAGAGTGACCCGTTGGCCCTCAGATAAGTGAAGGGCCCTGGTGAGAGCCACGAGTTCTGCCTTTTGAGTAGTCGTCCCAATGGGAAGGGGGGCCGCTTCTATAACAGCGTCCAGGGTGACCACTGCATAGACCGCATGTCGCCTTTCATCTGGGGCTATGAGGAAGCCCCACCCATGAACAGAGTGCGATCAGGGTCAGGCAGCATCTGGTCTCAAAGTCCTGGACAGGAGGGAGAGAGTTCTTCCAGGAGTTGAGAGCAGGAATGGGAAGGAGTGGGGGTAGACAAAGGTGTCAGCAAGACAGTGGCGGGATTTAGGCGAGGGGAGATAGAGAGTGTGACCTGGGGTTTTCTATGAATAGCAGGGGTAGAGTTGGAGACAGGAAGGAGTGAGTTGTGCCAAGGATTTGTGGCTGACTAAGTCCATCAGTCGATGGGGGGAGAAGACTGTGAGGGGCTGTCCTAAGGTAAATTTGAGGGCCTCCTTTGTAAAAGAAGAGGCTGCTGCTAGGGCCTTGAGACAGGGCTGCCATCCCTCGACGGTGACGTCTGGTTGCTTGGAGAGATAGGCCACCGCCCAGTAGGTGGAACCAGTCGGTTGGGCCAGGAGGCCGGTAGCCAGCCCAGACCATTCATCAGTGAAAAAGTGAAAAGGCTTTGAAGGGTCAGGCAAGGCCAGACTTGGTCCCGAAATGAGGTGGCTCCTGAGCTGGTAGAACAGACATCTGACGGAGCCTGGGTCAGTTAGAGGTCCCTGGGGTGTGTCTTTGGTGGCCCTGTATAAGGGCCAAGCCAGAATGGCAAAATTGGGGATCCAGTGTCTAAAAAAGCCCACCAGTCCTAGAAATGACAGTATATCATCCGCGTTCTGAGGGGGTTGTAGGTCTTGTAGAAGGCAGATACGGTCTCCTGTGAGGGATTTGGAAGTGGGAGTTAGTAATATTCCCAAGTAGGTGACCAAGGGAGTACAGAGTTGGGCCTTGGCGGGTGTCACTCGGTATCCCTTGGAGCCAAGGAAATTGAGCAGAGTGGCGGTATCCTCCTGAGAGGAGGGGAGGGAGGGGCTGCAGAGGAGGAGATCATCTACATATCGGAGAAGAGTCCTGGCTGAGAGGGTGCACTATTGGAGATCTTTGACCAGGGCCTGACCAAAGATGTGAGGGCTATCTTGGAAGCCCTGGGGCAGGACCGTCCAGGTTAGCTGTCCAGAAACATGCATTTCCGGGTCCTCCCAGGTGAAGGTGAAGAGGAAATAGGAGTCCGGATGAAGGGGGATAGTGAGGAATGCGCCCTTGAGATCCAGGACAGAGAAGTGTGTAGTGTGTGGGGGAACATTGGAAAGGAGAGTGTAGGGGTTGGGCACCACCGGATGGAGTGGGACTACTGACTCGTTAATAAGTCTCAGGTCCTGTACAAGGCGATAGGCTCCTGAGGGCTTTTTAATGGGGAGGATGGGGGTGTTGCATGGAGAGTTAATGGGGATAAGGAGACCCTGCTGCCGGAGGTGGTCGATGATGGGCTTAAGTCCTTGCCGGTGGGTCATCGAGATAGGGAACTGTGGGTGGGATGGAAATGTAGACTTGTCCTTGAGTCGTATGCTGACTGGGGTATGGTGGGTTGCTACTATAGGTCTGGAAATGTCCCATACCTATGGGTCTATGGAGGGGAGACAGTCTGGGATACGGGACAAGTCAGAGGGGAGTAGAGGGAGGATGAGGTGAGCAGAAGTCGAGCGAGAGGGAGAGAGATGAATGGTGGCCTGAAGTTTGTGGAGGGTGTCCCTGCCTAGTAGGGGAACAGGGCAGGAAGGGATAATGAGGAAGGAATGTGAGAAGGGTACCCATCCAGGCTGCACGTAAGGGGTGGGGTGGCCTTTGGAGTGGAGGAAGTACCGTCAATTCCCATAACTGCAACTGGGGAGGGACGAGTAGGACCCGAGTAGGAAGGCAGGACAGAATATGTAGCCCCCATGTCCAACAGAAAGGAAATGGACTTACCCGCTACCTGGAGTGTGACCCTGGGCTCGGCATGGGTGAGAAGTGTGTCTGAGTCTGGGCTCCATCAGTCATCCTCCAAGCCAAGAAGTTGGAAGGCAGGACTTACCATCTCAGGGTTTCCCCTGTGTGGAGGCGCTGGGAATCCCCTGAGGCTGGGGCCGTCTGATTTCCAGTGGCACATCATGTGGCATTGAGGGCACGGCCTAGCAGGCACTTTTGGATTGGGGCATTGACGGGCCCAGTGTTCCTCGGCTCTGCACTTGAAACAGGCCCCTGGAGGGACGCGATTAGGTTCTCCCTTCTGTTGACCCCCAGAACCTGCCTGCCTCAGGGCTGCTACCAGGGCTTGGGTCTGCAGTTGGGTCTGCAGTTGAATGTCGGTGGCTGACTGAGAAATAAAGTGGGTAGCTAAAACAGTTGCCCCTGTCGGAAAGGCCGTGTCTATGCGAGGGTATTGAGTCAGTGCCTCAGTAAGTCAGTTAAGAAACATGGCCAGGTTCTCATTTGGTTCCTGAATGACCTCCTTAAGTTTATCATAGTTGACTGCCTTATTAGAGGCTGCCCGCATGCCAGCGATAAGGCACTGGACCCTGCAGTCATGGCGCCGGTGGCCATCTTGGCCATCTTGGTAGTCCCATTCAGGCTCCACACTGGGACCGCCTGAGCGCCAACCAGCATGGAGTTGTCAGTAAGATGGACCTGATCAGTATGTTCTCAGGCTGCAGCCTGAATGCACTCCCTCTCCTCTGTGGTGAGGGTGGTAGTTTGGACCACATGTAGGCTATGCCAGGTGAGATCATAGGCCTGGGCCAGATACTGGAATTCCTTTATGTAGTTACCAGGGTTGGCCAAAAAAGAGCCCCAACTTTTCTCAATTTGGGAAAGGTCTTGTAGAGAGAAAGGCGCATAAACCCGAACAACTCCCTCAACTCCAGCAACCTCCCTTAGGGGGCAGACTAAATCAGGGGAGGGTTTTCGAGCCCTCGTGCAGGTGGAGATGGGAGGGGAGGCCAGAGGAGACGTGAGGGTGGGTTCGGTGGGGGCCACACCAGGAGCAGACTCAGTTTTTTGGGGTTTAGGGGATGAGATGGGGGTGGGGGTGGAAGGGACAAAATGGGGGTTGTTGGAGCATTGGGGTTAGGGGACATAGGGAAAGAGGGACCTTGGGGTATGGGATCATGGTAAGGTGGAGGAGGAGGAACCAGGGCCCCTCTTGTCAGTGGGTGGGTGAAGTTCTCCGGGCGTTCAGAGAGGGGAGATGGGGAGGGGAGGTCCGGGTATTTGGGAGCAGTGGGTGGCAGGGTAAGAGGAGGGGAGCAGGCCAAGAGGACTTGTTAAGTGGAGCAGTGAGAGCAGAGAGAAAGGTGAAAGTGTAGAGTCCAGAAAGCCTGGACATAAGGGACCTCGGCCCATTTGCCTTGGCGTTTGCAGAGATTGTCTAGGTCCATGAGAATCTGATAGTCAAATGTGCCTTCTGAAGGCCACTGGGACTGATTGTCTAATCGGTATTGTGGCCAAGTGACGATACAATAATGTATGAGATGTCACCTTCGCAGGTCCTGGACCAGTTCCAGGCTTTTAATATTGGCCAAGAGGCACCCCAGGGGTGTTTTAGAGTCTAATTTGGATTGGGACATCCCCATGA